GTAAATAGAAAAGTACTCCCCACTCTTTGATAGTAAAACTTTGAGAAAATGTTCTTGAAATCATTTTCATCATTAATGGTCATATCTTCCAAAAATTTCAAGCTTTTAACTTATGGTAGGGAAATATTACTTGAATAGCCGATTCTTTCCATTAATCACTTGTTGTGATAAACCTAATACGTTAATATACCCTAAAATATTTTTATTAATCGTTTAGTTTGAATAATCCATATTTTCTCGTAATCGAAGTATTCGATTCTTTTCAGACAATCGATAATCGATTTAGTCATCACTCAGCCTTAGTTGCAATTGCAGAAACCGAGTTGTACACTTCAATATTATAACCTATACATACATAAATTAAAAAAATATTGTCATCTACCCAAAGTAGTAATTTAAATACCATTTCACTGGCTTTCTAGTGAAAACATAACTTTCAAACCAACTTGCTTCTCTTGCCTGTTTTTACCGATAACTATCGTAGTATATAACGATTTTTCCATAAAATAAGAAGCAATAAAACCCAAGGTGAAATCCTTTTAAATAATTTCTTTGCAAGAACATGATTGACTAAACATGTTATCTGTTTAAAATTCAATTACATTAACACGCCACACTGCCATTTCACTGATTGCCTTTTCGAATAATTAACTAATTAGTTAATCGGTTGATACAAGAAAAGGAACCTAGCCATTGTACGTATCTTGAGTTAGCTTTTATTTCAATGAACCACTTTAAATTATTGCCGGTAGAGAAAAGCAGTCCGTTGCGGTGTTTAAAATTTAATGCCGTAGTAAAAGAGGCAACCGACCGTCGCGTCGCGACGCGTCGTTTTGTTTTTGGTTTTTTTCTTTTTTACTTTATCGTACAATCTCTTACCTTTGTGTTATCTGAACTGGTTAAGGTTCTACTCACGGAAAATAAAAATGACCTTACAAATTACCACAATACTTTTCTGTCGCTGTTATTTTTACAACACAATTAATTACGTATTGTATAAAATGTAATTGTAATAGAATTAAGTAAAAGTCCAATAACTTATAACAAAATGAGAGAATTATTTAAAATGTGGGCACTTAAAATAAAAACTAACTGTTTAATTTATATAACCAAATGGTAAAAGCTCGGGAAGGGGTCATTACACCTTCGAAATTTTAATTAATCGCTAACTTTTCGATATTAAATCCAGAGGCATTTGTTTCCAAAAAATTTGTCCCTTCTGGTAGGCTAATTCATCCCTTCGATTCCAAGACAATTTTGAACCGGGACTGGCTTCGAGATTCGGTTATGTATTTGGTTCAGTTAATTTAGTTAATTTTTTTCCAAATTTTTTTTTTAATTCTAAGAAAATTTCGAACCGAGATTGACTTGAAGATGTTTTCGGTTATAAGGTTCAGGAAGAGGCTTCTTTAGAAAAAAAATTTTCCTTCTTATGGACTGCTTCATCCCTTTGATTATAGAAAAATTTTGTACCAAAGCTGGTTTAGACATGGTTTCGGTTGTTTGATTCAGGAACAGGCTCTTTTCGAAATAGATTGTTTCCCCTTATGGACTGTTTCATCCCTTTGATTCTATAAGAATTTTCGTACCGAGATTGCTTAGATATGCATTCGGTAATTTCATTCAGGAAAGTTTATTTTTTCGAAAAATAGATAGTTTCATTCCTTTCATTCTAGGAAAATTTTGTACCGAAGCTGGCTTAGACATGCTTTCGGTTATCACTACATACTATAAAACAAAGTCGCTTCCCGCTGTCTGTCCCTATGTATGCTTAAATCTTTAAAACGACGCAACGGATTTTGATGCGGTTTTTTTTAGTGGATAGAGTGATTCAAGAGGAAGGTTTATATGTATAATACATGCATAATATAGTAGAGAAACACTGATAATTTTAGAGGTTTCTAATGTGATGTCGTAAATAAACACATTTTTTGCGCTTACATTGCAAACGCTGGCTGAACCCTAC